CCGGGTGGGAGCACCACACTACGTCGGCCGCTCCGGCAAGAAGGCCGATCCTCATGGTCTTCGTGGCCTTGATTCAGATGAGCATAGGGACCGTGGGTCATACGAGGAGTGAAGTTCTTTTGGTTTGATGTTGGACTTGCGCACTTGTTTTTTATGTTTCGATGATCTGTGGACTGTATGGATATTAATGCTTATGGATGCTTGGATGTGATCTATATGTGAATTCGTGTTATATATGCGTGCATTTGGCTTATATATATAAATGTGTGATCTGTGTACTTTAAAGTGTGATATGTATATGAAAAAACAGGAGAGAAAAGAGAAAAAAAAAAAATTTTCCAGCTTTGCCGATCGCCTCGGCAATCGCAAAAAGCAAAACCACTGTACCGCAGAAAACCAGTTTGCCGACCGCCTTCTGGCGATCGGGAAAGCCTTTTGCCGATCGCTTTCTCCTGGCGATCGGGAAAGCTTTTTGCCGATCGCCAGAAGGCGGTCGGGCAAAAAAGGAGACGGACGGACGGCGACGAGTCTTTACTACCGATCGGGTTATACGGCCGTCGGGAAGCCTTTACCGATCTGCTGTCCGGAAGGCGATCGGAAAAGAATTCTTTCCCGACATCTTCTCTCCGGCACCCTTTGCCGATCGCTTTAGTGGCGAAGCGGCGGTCGGCAAAGCCTTTGCCGACCGTTTTTCAGCCTTTGCCGACTGCTTTCGGCAGTCGGCAAAGAGGCCGATTCCTGTAGTGCGTACCGGGTTTTGTGCTCTGACTTGGACTGACCGACTGACCCACGAACGGTCGTGTGTCTCGCTATAGGTTGGTTCCGCATTGGGACACTGTCCTCCATCATACGGACTACGGTTCGTCTACGGAACGGGTCGAAGCTACACGACCTTGTAGTTATACGCGCGTCGTGGACGTATGCATGCATGCATACGTTACGCGCCGCCGGGCGGCCTCAGAGGCTGATCAGACGTGTCCATTTCTCGCGCGCACCGCGCATGCTTTGACGGTACGTTTCGCCTATCAAACGCGGAGGATAGATATGCTGATCGGTGCAACTACAATCTTACGTATGGCGTTACGTCTGCAAATTGATGTGTTATCGCTGTTGTTCTACTTGTAAAGAGATTAGGGAACGTCGTCGTCATTTTTGGGCGACTACGCCGGCGCCATACATACACAGCTGCGTCGCACACTCTCTCTCCACCAACGGACACCAGTCCGCGTCCAGACGAATTTAGGGATTGGTAAGCCCTATGCTATGCCCCCTCTCTATGACGCGAGGCCGCAGAGCACGCACTGTCGTCGCGATCACACGGGCACACGACACGCCCCGCCAACGCTCGACTGTGCTAGCTATGCGCTCCGTTGGTCGGTCGACCCGTCGAAGAACATCACAATCAGACCGACGCCGCGCCCACTCGTGTGTTAAAAAAGTGCCATAGGCTCATAGTCTATCTATCTATTCTTTAATCAAGGACCGAAACGGAGGAAACACTTGCTCTTGTGTCGTCGCGACTCAGGGCATTGTTTGTTTTCCCTAGTAAGCGCGTTCGGGGCCGAGAGGAGCGGAAAACGTGAGGTAATCCCACCAAACGGTCCGCGGCGCTCGCGCGTCCCTTAGCAGAAATTGAACGTGACTCGGCGTTTCCCAAAACCTGTTGGGCTGTCGTGCCTGGCATCAGCTTCCCGTTGCATCGATACTGCCAAGCTGCAGGCCCGTTGTGTGCGGTGTGCCCATAGCCCCTAACATGTTTTTTTTATCAGGTACAACTTGGACGCACACAACCCACGCACTCCACACTCACACCACACGCATATATGCATGCGCGTCCGTACACACGCAAAGAAGAGATTGGGTGACGTCGTCTCCGGTGCACGGGAAATGCGCAGTACCACCGAACGCGCACCCGTGCGTATACCCTGAAAATTCTGAAAAATGTTCAAAAAAATATGTGATCATCCAGGTTTGAAACCAGGTGGGTAGCGCCCGCTGGATAGCTCTACCACTACCACTGGACCACAGGCCCATTCGCAGCCCATAACCTGTTGGGCTGTCAGTACGGCGAAGGCCGAACGATGGATGCATCATGATGATTAATTTAGGGACCGTGGGCGTGTCACGCTCCGCTAGACAGTTAACATAAATCGTGGGCCTTCACAGGAAGCCACCTTTTTTTTTTGAGCAACGATATGTTAACTAGTCTCCTGATTTCGTGGGCTGGGCCGGGTCCGCTACTAACTGGACACGGCTACGGCAATTCTACATCGGCCTCCGTTGGATCACAAACCGTTCCTTCCTACTGCCTCCTTTGCATTACTACGTTCGTAGGCCATAAACCTCACCGAGGCAGATGATGCCATGATGGTTTCGCGTAGGGCCGGGATGTAGGGGACATCGAAAGAGATTGGCAATGACCCGGACCGTGACTCGATGGGGTCCGTCCAAGTCCAAGACGCGTTTTGTTGTGCGCGAGCCATGTACCCCCAAGATTTTCTGAAATCTCCGTCTCTGTCGACACCGCCCCTCCTGTTTCCTGCGTGGAAGCCACAGACAGCAATCCAAGAAACGAGACGACAACGCGAGGAGGAGCAGCAGCTGTCTGATCCGCTGTCCATGTCCTCTCCTCCCAGAAGCTACTACCACGACGCGGTGTCCACAAGGTCGCATTAAAAATATCCGGCGTCCGGCGACCCAACAGCCACCCACAACCCGCAGACGGGACGGGCAGAGCGCGCGGGCGCAGCGCAGAGCACGGCCGCACGTACACGGTACACGTCACCTCAGGCATCACGTGTCGGCTCCGCGCTTGGCACCCAGTGTGTCCACATGTCCCTCACGCACCACGCACGGGGCACCGGGCAGCACAGCTGTGCATACGGCCACGGCACTTCATATAGCACTATAACAGGCCATGTGGCCGACGATTTTGCTGCGTGTACTGCTATCAAGTCTCTGCTAGCAGTACTGCGTAGCTAGCACATGGTGCCGTGCTGGGCGAGCCGTGCGTGCAACGCGTGCACGCAGGCACAGGCAGCGACGGGCTCTCCGTCTCCGCCATTGACAAATGCAGCTCTGCCTGCGGCGTGCGAGTGTGCGGTCCACACAGAAGAGTAGCGCAAACTTAAGCATAGCTTCCCCATTGTTCATTGCGGGTTTAACGCTATGCCATGTGCATAAAACATAGCTCTACTCGCGCTAGTTCCCCGGCCCGCCTGTTCGCTGGTTTGGTTTCTGGGCTGATAAGTCCGGTTGGTACTAGTTTGTTGTGAGATAAAAACACTGTTGACTGGCTAATAAACTCTGGCTGAAACTGGCTTTGAATGTGGACAATCTGTGATGCTCGTAGACTAATCGAGATGGTCGGACTCTAAACTTAGTTTGCCTCGAATCTTAACGTAGTTCACTCGGACAAGCAACTGATACGTATGTGTTTTAGTTTGACGAGACTCCACGCTTGGTCAACAACTATATGGAGCGAGGATGTGTCATGTAATTGCTTGATGACTTGACTAGAACCAAAGGTATGATATGAAGTAAGCGTGCTTTAAAATAAGGCAAAAGACTATAGTTCATCCCTTTCGAATTAGTAAAGTGTAATACGTCTGGTCAGGACAAGAGTTTAACCGATAGTTTACTCTATCAACACGTTGTTTATGTGATACAAAATCATAATTCATAGGTTTCTTTCAGTACAATAATAACTAGGAATTAATATTTATAAAATCATGTGTTGCTAAAAAAATCTTGGTCAGAGGCTTCTCATAACAAAAACGAAGTACGCATACTACTTTCTAAATCCTTCCACTTTATATCACGTGATTTTAATGGTTGGATCTGAAATTACACTTAAATAAACGAGTGTACGGGTGCATATATAATATAATGCTTGTATGAAACCATCTCGTCAGTTGCGGCCGCTTGCAATGAAACCCAAGATGCTCGGTTCTTTCTTTGGCTCTTGGGAACAACTTTTAACCGGCCGGAAACAGAGCAGTGACGATTGACAAAAGCCTTCTTTTTTATTTTAGAGTGTGATGGTTCCTCCTCTCTCTTTTTTGGGGGCTACAGAAAAGCATGATGCTGTCCGATGGTTAGGAATAAAAGTTGGCTTGTGTAGGCTTAAAACTTTTAACCGGCAACTTGCTGCTGTTTGTGAAGGGAAATGGAATGGCGGCAGCGGCGCACTCAACTTGTGCCTACAAACAAAGTCAAGAGCTCATTGCCTTCATGCCTTGTACACACATGGGTCAAGAGGGCAGCAGCAGGTTATAATTCATGATGAAGAAAAATGAAAAAAAAAAGTGATAATTTCTTTTCAGCAAAGCATACTGGGTAGTGTACAAGTCTTCCCTGGTGTACTACCTTAATTATATCCAGCCTTGTTTGACCCAACTACATACAATTAGACACACTTCAGTGGTTCTGTGGTTGTGGCTTCTAGCTTTTGTCCTTTACAGGTTTACAGGATAACAATAGACGCATCTTCTTTCTCCAGACGAAACACTAACCTATACTGGTACTAGTATTTCACCTTCCAAATCCTTAAGAAAAGGACTACAGTTTGTTCATCACAGCAGAAAGGAGGCAAACCTACGAACAAACAATCCTTCAAGTCCAAAATCTGTATTATTTATCTTAAAAAATAGTACAACAATATAAAACTAATAAAGCCCCCACGCCATCGTTAACAGTCATAGGTTAATGATACATACGGTAAAACGCAACGAATAATTAAACACGTCATTTTCGGACGGTACATCTACGATTACATGATGGGGCTTCGTATCAGTGATTCAGTGAGAAAGAAGGAAGGTGCGCACTGTGCCGCCGGCGGACGATGGCGACCACCGTCGGGTCTCGGCTGACATCACCTCACCACCACCCAACAGCGAAGCTGACGCACGTGATGACGCGCGCACCCAGCGGCCCCACGCTACGACTCTCCTCTCCTTGGCCCGGTGCAGGCAGGTGATGAACTGATGATGCGGCGTGCGCTACGCCGGGACGCGCGCCGAGGGTGCCTCTGGCTCCGGCTCCGCGTTCAGGTCGAGGCCGGCACGCGGCGACGGGGCAGCAGCAGCGGGGGCGGGGACGGGCTCGTCGGGCCGCGGCTGTGGCGGCGCCAGCGCGGGGGTCTCGGGCGCCGGCGGGGCGGCGAAGTCCTCCCAGGAGAAGCTGGGCCGCCACGCCGGTGCGCGCGGGGCAGCAGGCCGGGCGCCGGCGCCGCACAGCTGGCGGGAGGCGTCGCGTATGCGTCGGAGGATGGCGTAGAACTCCTCGACCTCGGCGTCGGAGGCCTCGTCGACGGCGACGGGGGCGGCTGCGGCTGCGGCGGCGTCTCCGGTGATGTCGGTGTCGGGGCGCTTGCGCTTGGCGGTGGCCGTGGTCGCGTTCATGGTCTCACGGCGTGCTAAGCAGAGGGCGCGTGGAGGAGCGGGCATAGGAAGGTTTTGGTGGCTCACGAGTGTTTTGGAAGAAAAGAAAGGGCTGCTGGTTTATAAGGCAACCAAGTGTAATGCGGAATATTTTCCTTTGAAACTTCTCCTGTGACTGTGAGGGAGTGGTCTTCTTTTTCTAAGCTGGGCCCAATTGTTTATGCATAGTATACTGTTAGACTAACTATTGGTCTCATAAACATACATTTGCATATATTATTGTTTTTAAAACAATTGCCTATATCCCTTCATTTTATAGTTACGAGAAAATGGTAGTTAAATTATTAACAATGCAAATCAAGAATGGAAGTATCTTTTAGAGACCACGACCTTAATTCTAGTATCACTATACAACAATTTTGCCCCTCCATCCCTTGCACCTTAGGAACCTCAGTGAGGTTAGTAGACCCTGCACTCGAATGGAGGCTAGACAAAGCTCAAGGCACCGCTCACATGATTTCAAGCATCTAACTAAGGGTGCTATGACTAAGAGCAAAGCACAAGCCAGCACCGCGTGAGGGGCAAGAGTGGTTGAGGTGTGCCAAATTTCGTTAATGCCCTTCGCGAACCGTGGTTGTATGGTACCTAAGGCCATGGTTTTAATGACATGTTTCTGATTGTCACCTTGTGCTATGGCTCCGTTCGCTTCGCTGAAAAAACAAGTCGAAACACTGTTCCGGCTAATTTGTTGTGAGAGAAAAATACTGTTCCGGCTGAAAAAGACGGATTATAAGAGAAGCGAACAGGAGCAATATTAAGTAAAGCGACAAAGTTCGGTGTTTCCGTGTAGTGTGGAAAACTTGGTGGCAAGGCGTTTCCCCATCAAAACTGGTATCATCCATAAGCTACACTTCACTGTTTGTCCTCGGGCGTATCTCATTGAAAGAAAGAAGCTTTTAATAAACACCATGCAAACACACTAGACTGAGCAAACACAGAAGAAGGGAATTAATCATCGGGTCTACCAGGTACACCAACACTTGATTGTAGTGTACCATATAAAGCATTATTGGTCCTATACCCATGTGTTTGAAGCCACATATATTTCTGTACAATGATGGCCAACTTCATAATTATCCATCTGAATGCACCACAACTTGTCGTAAATCTAAAATTCAACAAACAAACTTCTGATTTTTAAATAAAACATTTGCATATCATTTTGTTAGATAGATTCCGGATGTTATTCATTTAAATTCTTGAATGGTCAAAAATGATCTCTCTTTTATCACTTCCATTGTTGGCATTATCTATCTTTATACATCAACCATCTTAGATGCCATATGGTAGGCATACACACAATTGTCATCTTGTACCATTTTTCCATTATAGAATAATAGAAGTCCAAACAACAAAGTTTGTGAAAGATATCATCATCTGTGATTTTCTTCAAAACCTTTGTGTAAAAGTTTGTCCTAGCTAGGCGATGGCTTCGACGATATACACACATTTATCATCTACTTAAGTCTGATAGGATTTATAGAGAATATTAGCAACATGTGTATCCAAATAAATTTATTATGAAAATATATTCAACGATCTATCTAGTCATGCACTGTAAATGTTAGTACATTCTTATATATATTTGATTAAGCTTAAAAATATTTGACTTCTTAAGAAGTGAGAATGACACTCTTTATGCGACGGAGGGAGTACTATTTTGTTTCAATAAGCGCAAGCTAAAGCGACAAAGTTTGGGGTTATCATAAAAACAAGGAAATTTCAACAAAATAAATATTTTTTCCTTCATCAACTTAGCCTCTATATTATTTTTGCATACTATGCCTCAATGCACGTTTACCCTCAACCATACCTTATTGGTAAAAGAATAAAATATTTAGTGTAAATTCTATTAAACCACTAGCTCTAAGAATAAGTAATAGGAGTTAACAGTTGTTAGATAGATATGGAAAATTATCACCAAAATTCCTAACTAGTGGAAATCCAAATATCTTTTAAAGACTGCGGTATTGCTTTTATTATCTTTGTGTGAAAGATTTGCCAGGCTATCTTTTGTACATCCCAACTCAGAGATTGCAATGAGAACAATGAGGTTGGTGTAGCGGTGAATCTCGGTGTGTCTTCTAGGTCTGCTAGCTACGCCATGGCTTCGATGACATTCGCACGGTTGTCATCTACTCCTTCCGTCCACAAAAGAGTATAATTCTCGCTTTCCGAGAAATCAATCGGTTTAAACTTTGACCAAAATTATATAAAAAATACTAACATTCCTAATGCAAAACTAGTATTATTAGATTATTCATAGAATATATTATAATAAATTTATTTGGAGACATAAATATTAATACTATTTGCTATAAATTTGGTCAAATTTGAGCTACTTTGACAGCCACGGATCCCATAATTGCATTCTTTCCTGGACGGAGGGAGTATATCTTGTACAATCTTTCTCCATTACGGCTCCTACAAAACGGCTTTGACTCATCTGCTTTTTACTTAAAAAAATAGCTCCTCCAGCGAAACGTTTTACGGGACTCCTCTAAAGTAGCCGGAGACGGAGACGGAGAGGAGCCATCCAGACATGCTCTCAGTACACTGTCCGACCAATGCTTGACTTTGACTTTGGGCCTGGGTTTGAGCAATGGGTTTTTTATGTGTCGTCGCCCTAGCCCGATCCTAGCTAGACAACCGGGTCTGGGGCGGGACCAGATATGCTAAGGTCTACTAGTCCTGAACCCACCAGAAAGGTTGGCCGAAGGGTGCAGCAGCCTGTGTCCAGCCTGTTCGTTTGTTGATTTTAGTCAGGGCTTATCAGCCAACCAACAATGTTTTTCTCTCACAATAAACCAGCACCAACCGGACTTATTAGCCCAGAAACCAACCAGCGAACGGGCTCGTCACATCTCCGTTCTCACCGTGTTACAAATGGGACCGGGGCTTGTGCGCGACACAGTCACACAGGGTCAGAACTCGTTGGCAATCAGTCACCAATAGATATAGATATAGATGGAGCCCGGCTTTGATTCAAACAGAGGTCCACGGCTTTATACCACGCGCTTCCGTGCTATGCTATGGCCAGGCAAGAATAAAAACCCTCGTACAGTGTACGTACGCTGCAAAATATCAGTAGCCTTCCTCTCCTTACTGTGCTTGCATTGCCCCTCGCGCGTCTGAACCGGTGAGCCGTCCCTCCTGTCCGTGCCTTGCAGCGTGAGCATGTCGACGGGCTCGGGGGACTCGTACTGGGTAGGCTGCGCGACGGTGACGTCACGCAGCGGCGCGTCCGCACGCCAGTCGTGCGTCACGACGGGGCGGCATCGGCACGTCTCGTTCGTCTTCCGACTTCCACGACTACGACCGCGCAGCTCTAGTGCTGCTTCCTTTATCGCGTTTTTTCCCATTAGTCAAGATAAGTAGCTTTCGGCGCCGGCAACTGTGTTGCTACAGCCGCGAACGTCCTTGTAGTTGAAGAAGGCAGTGGCTACAGTACAAACAAGCGGATCGATGCTAATTACTTGGAAGATCAAGGGAAACTCTAGCTAGCTCTGTTTCCATCTGTCCTTTCGTTATCTCATCTCTCGTCACCAAGATGATGCCATTTGGTAGCGTAGCTAGTACTAGTGCCTACTGGAGGAGGCCACTGGTGGACGCGGAGGGCCAAAAGCTAACCTCACTGACCGACAGCTGAGTGCTGACTAGTCTCATTTGGCCTTTCCAAACGCGAGACTCCGACGGCCTGTTCGTTTGTCTAGGCTGATTCGTCGCTGGTTTGGCTGGTTTGTGTGAGGAAAAAATACTATTTCGGTCAAAAATTTTCACTCAGCTGAACAGGCCGTGAAAGTTCCGGTACAGCTAGCCATCTTATTTACCCTGTTCTTTTGTAAGATTCAGTCAGTCCAAACCAGTCAGCCAATAATATTTTCTTCTCACAATAAATTAACACCAGCCAACTCAAATTAGAAATCAACCAGCGAACATGCCGATTATTTGCTGTTATTATTGCAGCCTTTGCCTTAGATTTCTCGATTCCTTGGAAGGACGGTACCCCAGCCAAGAGAGTCCAACTTTGCGAACAAATTGCATGAAAAATAGAGTAAAGCTGGCACGCGCTTGGTCGGGAATCACTCAAATTTCCAAAGGGGTCGCATCGCCAATACCCAATGGGGTGAAAGGCTAGCAAAATGCCCCTCAGGGTTTCTACCATATTTCCACATAACTTCTTCTATAGTACGAGTAAGTACCTTGCAATTTGGCAGCACAGCAAGTTGCTAGGTTAGGTACAGTGCTGAATCCATATAGATACAGTACCTATATAGATCCTTTCTGTCAGCTTCCTAGAAGATGAAGACTGATGTCAGTGCCATACCATATTGGCCTCATTCGGCTTACCTTAAAAGTCGGTTTGTTCGGGGTTTTTTCAACCAAAGCAGTATTTTCTTTTCACAAAGAATTCAGTTTTGACTTGTTTTTTTCAAATTAAGTTTAACGAGGCCATTATGGCCTTGTTTAGTTTCCCCCTAAAGTTTAGTCCTATCACATTGTATATTTGAACACATGCATGGAGTATTAAATATAGACTAAAAAGTAACTAATTGCACAGATCGTGACTACTTTGTGAGATGAATTTTTAAGCCTAATCAGTCCATGATTTGACAATGTGGTGCTACAATAAATATGTGGTAATGATGAATTAATTAGACTTAATAAATTCGTCTCATGGATTAATGAGAACTTATGTAATTTATTTTATTACTACTATCCGAACACTCCCATGTGATACCTCACGTGACATCCCTAAACTTTAGTATCTGAATTTAAACACCACCTATATTAGTTTATAACAAAATAATAAATGGAAGAGTAAGGAAAGTCTGGAGTATAGATGGTTTTGTAGTAATGTCCATGTCACAAGTCACATGATGTACAGTCGTTGAATGCATGATCAATAATTGTTGCTCAGAGGACTAAAACCGATTAATTCTTTTCTTTTTATATGACTC